ACAGTTCACTCCAGAAATCGTTATCCAGACACGCAAGTAGGAAAACCTGTTGGCTTAATCGCTTAATCTTCCTTCCCGCTTGTGTTACATAAATTCCAGAATGTTAAATGTTTAATGATTTTGCTGGGAATGGATTAGTGTCTTTGGATTTTAGACCTAGTACGTAAGTAAGCCTCCTACTCTGGAAGGCTTAGCAACATTATTGATTGGGCAACAAGCCGCGCACAATGGAATTTTCGACTGGGTAATTTAATTCAATTGCCAATAAAAGTATCATGTAAAACATTAGCTTTTTCTAAACTTTTGATTCACAGTTTGAAAAAACGGCTTGTGAAATATTTTATCTATATGCTAATATTTTCTAATTAATTTCCACAATTTTTTGGATCTATACAACTTCAAGAGTTAAAAGTTCAATGATTATCATCTAAACAAATTTGTTATTATGTAAATTAACCTTAAAATAGATTTTGGCGCCTTTTCATTTTGCTCTTTCCTAACTTTTGTACTACTTTAATTAGAATACGAAGATAAACTATATCTTCGCTCATCTTCTTCTGTGGTTTTCAATTGTTTAATTCCAATGTGGTGGAATTTTCTTCAGTAATACAAACAAATTTATTATGAAACATCAATGAAGGATAGGACACTGATCGTCATAAAATGTAACAAAATACAATATTGAACGTAATGCTTGCAAGAGTTTCGAGACCGCAAGCAATAGGATCGACTAATACGAAACGACCCGGAATTTTTCAATCAAGGAAAAATCTATGAACTCTAATTTCAGTATACACGTATACACAAATCAACCAACTCATCATCTAATTATACCTGCATAGAGTTGATATTGTAAGATTCAGACATATTTCTGAAATTCCAACTTTGGCTGTAAGTTATTATACCTGTAAGCAAGCGTGACCAATTTTATCAAGTGCCATCCATCGCAAGGCATCTTTAGACAACATCTAAATCTTATGTGTCGTATATTTTAATGCATAATTGAATTCATCAACCGCTAGGTTTTACGTCAAAAATCCGTTTAATTTTGAATTATATTTTCCTACATGTTTCTTTGCTTTATTGTACTGCGAAAACTTCCATGGCGCAATTTCTGTTTTCATAATATACAAGTGGTTATTTCTTGTATGAAAATGGTGTCTCAACATTTCCCTCATTTTCGCTGATAAACAATAGCTCCAAGTTGAATTTTATGGCTACCGTTTATTACACATGGTCTTTATTTACGGGTATAGTTTTATTACCAGTTTTTTATGGTGCTTACATGTTTTGATAAAAGTTGAAATGTAATGCATTTTCTCATATACGTGTAATGGGAGAACAATGTCTCTGAATAAACAAGATATTGCAACAATGTTTATTTTTATTTCCGTACGAAATTCATCCTGAAAAAAAATATACGTTCGAAGAAGGATGATAATTATTGGTAAAAGATGCCATGAAAACTATTTTTCTCGGGCCAATGTTTCGATAATATTTAAACGATCCTCATAGCTCATGAAGTCATATAATGACAATGTTTTAATGACAGCATGGCAGTATGTCTGGTGACATGCCGCCTGAGGATGGCTTGTAACGTTTCTCGCCAGAGCCCAATATAACTGAAACGTTGGCCCAAAAAAATTGTGGTTTATTTTCTGCCGCTATGTATTGACCGATAAACCCAAGCACCTAACTAGGCGCCTTTTACCAATTATCATCGCGAGCACCAACCACCATAAAATAATTATTTGTGCCGTACCGTGGATATAGAAAGGTTAAACTTACCTGTGGTCGTTTTTGCTAAAAGGCTAATCAAACTACAGGAGACTATATCAATAACACTAATAATCACAGCCATGTGGTATTCAAATGTTTAATGTTGCCGTAAAAAGTACAAGATATAACACAAAAATTAAAGAAATTATTTATATATTCTTGTAAGTTTCTAACTTAGGAACAACTTTTAAAAGAACAATTATAGTGATGTGGGCAATCGCAGTTTGCGTTAATAATACTGTAATTCGCCCAACTTTTCTACTTATGATTTAATTTGGATGCGTATTTAAAGCAAGAATTTCGTTTAAAAAATTATAGAAGCTGGTGAATTCTGGATTAATTCGTACAACGTCTACGTAGTATGTTATGTATTGATTTAGATGCGTATTTAAAGCAAGAATTTTGTTTAAAACATTATAGAAGCTGGTGAATTCTGGATTCATTCGTACAACTTATACGTAGCCACTATAAATCCCGAAAACATTGTGATAGTACGAATAAGTACTCGTAAAAGCTGGGTTTATTTGCTTCAATGGTATGATTTTTTAAATTTTGTGATACAGTATAAACTCGCTATGTAATCCAAACCCACCAGTGTTCCGGATGTCCTTACTATGAGGGCAAAATTGAAATTTTACATCAGGTATCTTGTAATCCGCATTGCTAAGTGTTTCGTTAATCCGAGTCACAAGTATACTCGTACTTGTAGTCACTTGTATTCATCGACAAACAGTCTAGATAAATTTGTTACAAGTGACGATTTGGTAAGCATAAAGTAAATCTATTTCCAGGTCATACACGCAACGGTGATGATTCTGCGCTATTTTGGAGGTCGTCCTCAAGTCCAACACTAGTGCACGTTAAAGAAACCTTTGTGCCAGTACGGATCACTTCTCAATAGAGGAGAATCCATCAACTTTAAATGACGGTTATTGGCAAAGCGATGAAACTCACAGCTTTAAAAAATGGTCACATTACAGTTGAATGCCTGAATCTGAATCTGAATCGTCCGTACTTTCCTTCATCCGTATTCCACAATTTCTACGGTGTATTTGTCACGTTGTCACAAATTATCACAAAATCATATGCAAGACTACGGCATTTTAGCAATTTTTATTTGATTTGTAGCACATCGCCACGTGTTCGATTGGATATGTTTTATTCGCAGCTTCATATCAATTGGCAACTAAAACGCCTATGGGTTTAAACGTAAAAAATAGTTACTTTCGAAGTCATGAAACTTGGTCTTAAGGCTATACAGGGTGATTCAAAATTGGCGTCATTTCTCTGGAGGTGTTGTCTGGTGCTGTTATAGAAGTACAGAAAAAATAGTAAAAGAAATTAATTATTATTAAAAACTGAGAAATTTGCAAAACCTATCTGAGAAATACGGCAGCAATGTTTTTCAAGGTGATCTGCCTAATTAGCATTTTGCCTGTGGCTTCGTAATTATTTAAAACTCCGGTAACCATGGAATTATACAGGCTGACAATAAGATAGACAAGGATAAACGGTAAATTCAACAAGATTTGTTAACGAAATGTCAACCTGTTCTCATAACCTCGAATATGGGTGTTTAAAAATAAACCATACAACACCAAACATTTGAATGGTTAACTCCAGACAAGCTAGTGCCTGTGTAATCTCCTTATTATCCACTCTTATCAAGCA